AAACTGATTTTTCCAAAATAAGAGAATGAATCGTCAAGTAATGTTCGCTATCATAATTTACCATGACTCTTTTGCTTTTATCTCCATCACATGCACATAAAATTACCAATAATTTTATCGTTGAAAAGAAAAAGAAGAGTTGTGTTTTTACATTAAAAGAATTGAAAATATGCTTTTTCACCACCTTTCCACTTTTATTCCTTTTTATATAATTACCTTGTTTATCGAAATTAATTATTATAAAATGTCCTTAAGCTACCATTAGCATCTTGAATAACAAATCAAAATATTAAATTAAATGCTATCTTCCACTTCACGTTACTAAGATGATCACGTTTCGTACATTGATTACTGTAACAATTATTTGGCTCATAATAATAATTCAGTATAATGACGATTATGTTTGGCCGAACGACTTACACATATCCAATGTTTGCTGTAACGACAAAGTGGTACTCAAAAGGTTTTGAAACAACAAATAGGTACCTTCCGTCATGTGTTGTTAGTGATTTCCGTTTGGTAATAGTGAAAAGACTAGAATGTCCTTGAAAGTTTGATATTTTAGTTTTTTATAAATTTAAAAATTTATAAAAAAACCCCCTTAAGTTTGCTAATTTAACTAAAACACTCCAATATATAAAATTTTTATAAAATGACAAAAATACCCCCACCACCCGCAGTGCCAAATTCCGGCCACCATCGCCGAAATCTAGTCGAAAAATTGCGTTACGACACAGACCCGTCGGATCTGTGTCGTAACGCGTCGATTTGGCTGTCGAGGCCGCAAAACTCTCGGCTGCCAGATCTAGACGTAGATCTGGTCTTTTTCGACTAGATCAATGGCGGATATGGCCGAAAAAGGTTAGATCCGGCCGTCGAGGTCGCAAAACTCTCGACGGCCAGATCGACGTGTTACGACACAGATCCAACGAGTCTGTGTCGTAACGCAATTTGCCGGGCCGTCGGAATCTGGCGATAGTGGCCAAAATCTGGCACTGTGGGTAGTGGGGGTGTTTTTGTTATTTTATAAAATTTTATATGTTGGGTGTTTAGTTAAATTAGCAAACTTAAGGGGTTTTTTCATACATTTTTAAATTTATAAAAAACTAAAATTTCAAACTTTCAAAGGCATTCTAGTCTTTTCACCATTACCAAACGAAAATCACTAACAGTACATGACGGAAGGTACCTATTTATCATTTTAAAATCTTTTAGGTATCCCTTTGTCGTTACCACAAACCTTGGGTATGGTTAAGTCGTTGGGCCATTATGTTTCCGGGAGAGCCACACACATCCCATTCCCAATCGAATCCAGTATATGAGTATTACGTTACGTATGCCATTTTTGTTAATAATATGCAAACAAACATGGAATGATTTCAATCTGTCTAATCACCAGAATTGCAGAAATGAAATGTTGAAAGTTTTGATTTTATCCCTAAAGTTCCGGTTCGCGTGATCCTTCCACCTTGTTAAACAAGACAACCCACTATTACAGTAGACTAGATTTGATGTATGAAAAAAATGAACTTCAATTATATTGATTTGATGCCCACTCGTGCTGTCATGAGCTTCGCTTCAAGCGATTTATTGTGNCGTGCTATGAATCTGCGACCAGCCTACTGCAACTAAGGGGGCGACAACCGAATTTAGACGCTAAAAATGGATTAGCGTCTAAATGTGACTTTCTGCGTCTAATTTTTTTAGACGCAGAATGTCAGTTTTCTTGTGGTGAACGGTCTACACCACCACCAGAAATAGCCGATAATTCACCGATCTAGCCTTTTCCGGCCAGATCCACAGTGGATATGGCTGGAAAAGGCCAGATCTGATAGAAAAAGGCCAGATCTGGTCGGAAAGCGACGGCCAAAGAAGTGGTCGTCGTTGACAGTCAACGACGGCCACATCTTTGGTCATCGCTGACAACCAAAGATGGAGTTTGGCGGCTGTCGAATGCCAGATCTAGCCTAGATCTCACAGATCCGACCGGTCTGTGTTGTAAAGAAATTTTTCGGTCAGATTTCGGCGGTGGTGGCCGAAATCTGGCACTGCGGGTAGTGGGGGTGTTTTTGTCATTTTACAAAATTTTTATATATTGGGGTATTTAGTTAAATTAGCAAACCTAGGGGGTTTTCACAAATTTTATAAAAAACTAAAATATCAAACTTTAAAGGGCATTCTAGTCTTTTCACTATTAGCAAACGGAAATCACTAACAGCATATGACGGAAGGTACTTGTTTGTCATTTTCAAACCTTTTGGGTACCAATCGGTCGCCGTTTCCCCTTGACAAAAACTTAAAAGTGTATTGGGTCCATTTGCTATGACTTAAATTCTCTTTATTTCTTATCACGTAGGTCGATGGAGAAAGTGTCGGCCATTTCAATGATTTCTCTGACTATATTTTCCATATTAACCATATCTATTGTTATAAGTGTGTGCAAGAGTGATTAAGAGAGAACACAAGTGTGAGTTCATAATTACATAACCTGTTTGTGCGGCACTCGGGGAAGCAACAAGAGGAGAAGATCTTGCTCTCTACTCAGCCACAAAAAGTATTTCTTCCCGGCCAAAATACTCAGGTCATTTACTTTATTTATAAATGTTCGTTCTTTCTTAATTACTTTATTTGCATATATATTTTTTCCTCTGTCAATTGGAATATTTATGTGAAGTGAGGTGGAGGATATTGTTGTTTTTTAAAGAGTGAAACAGAATGGGTATTAAGGGACAAATCATGTCTTTAACCTTATTCAAACATTCCTCTTCCTTTACAAATACTTAATCAAAAAGGCTCTTTTTAGCTAAAATGCTTTTTGGAAGGAGTCTTCTTGTAAGAATTATAGGATCGAACGAAGAAAATTCCAGAAAGTAGTAAACTTTCCAGAGAAACAAACATAAAGTTTGGGAGGAAACAGAATTTTCCAGAACTGAAATTTTTATTAACATTCAGCTTGATTACAAACTGATCATGACTTGTTTTTATACTCAAAATGATTTTATTCTCATGTCATTTACTTTATTTATAAAAAAATCTCAGAGGAGATGGTCATAATATTGTGCATGTTCATCTTTAATTAACGTGTTATTTAGAATTTTATAAATGAGTAAAATAATCTTGTATTTCATACCGCAACTCAGGTTTTAACTCTTCTATATTATGTTCGGCATCCGGGAGGAGGAGGATAAGCTCTCTTTCTCAGCATATTTCTTCTGGGACATAATATTCAAGTTCTTAATTACTTACTTTGCTTTACTGTTTTTATGTTTTTTGTGTTAATATTTACATCCCCTAGATCTTGCCCTTCGAGAGGCTCCATTTCCTCTTACTTTGCTTAAATTAATGATCGAGTTACAAAGTAGTTTTTGAACGTCGAATGCGTTTAAGTGAAGTGAGAGATTTTGGAGACCCAAGTTTTTTGAAAAGAACTAACCATCCTTGACGTTAAGACGATGTTAACAAAAGTAAACTGAAGTCAACAACAATAAGGGTAGTTTGGTCATTTTGTAGAAATATCTACCACCTAAGTCAGTGGACTGGACGCTATAGTCTTTCTACGTTAAAGAGTAAAACTGTAAAAGAGCTCTTGTCATAGGTTTAAAGGGTATTATATTATATTATTTCTAAGTCGAGTGGGGCCGCATGACCCCTTCCTTTGTACTTGGGTTCGCCCTGCTTTACAATATATATATATATATAATTTTACTGGCATTTTATGTTATTTTTTACATATCTCATTTATCTTAATTGTGAAATCTTTTTATTTTTAAGATAATTAATAATTTTATCTAATTTTTTATTTATTTATAAACTATAATTGACCCAAAATCCTATTCAACCTTATTTTGAAAATCCTAATTATAAGATTTTATATTATTTTTAAGGATCTTAGTTAAATGCATACTCTTTTGAATATTATTACATAAAAATATTTAAATTAAATCAAGAATCTGATTCAATTAAATACATTCAATTGTTAAAGTCCATCATTTATAGAGTGTTGGTCTACAGGACATTCTGCTATAATTTCTAATAAAAATATTGAAATGGCTTTTGCTAAAGGCAGCTCATAGAGTTAAAGAATTCATTTCCATCCTTTAAAGAGTAAGTCTTTTGGTGAAAACACAACGAGCTGGTCTTGCACGTCAACACTGCAACTATTTGTTTAGGCCGAAATATTGATCAAGTTCTTAATTATTTTCAAACTTTACTTTATTAATTTAATTATCAGTTATTTAATTTGGTATAACTTGATTATATAATTTACTTTATGCATTGTATTCTTGATTCTATTTATTTAATTTGGTATAACTTGTTTATATAATTTTTCTTCGATTAAGACTTAAACAATTCGAGATTAGGATGGATGATTTAAAAGGTTAACTATATAGGAAACGTAATTAATTACTCCTAAATTTCTCGTTTGGATAAAAATATCTGTTTCAACCATAATATATATGGTAAACATATAATCATAAACCAAGTGAATGAAACACTAGGAATTTTTAAAGCGGCAAAAGTTAAATAAGAAAAATCTTGTTGGTACATTAAATTTATTATTATTATTTTTTTTTTTTAATTTGTAAGTTGATTTGGTATTTTATTGATGATTGGCCCAAGCAGAGAGGTATTTGGGGAAGCTGGAGAAGAGGAGACTCTTGTTCTCAACTCAAACTATACAAGTTCTTCCTCCACAAAGATCCTTGTTAGGTTTAAGGGGTATGAGTGATGCATTTTTTAATAGATATGAGGGTACTTTGATTAAAATGGCAATAATCATATTCTAAGTTGTATTTTCAATAAAGTTAGAAAAGTATGTGATTTTTGCCCGTTTACCATATTTAATTTCTGATAAAAATTAATTATACTCTTCCACATAATAACATAAATGCTGTCATATATACCCTTAATTTGCCACCTCATCTACCCCTCACAAGGCCGCCACAAAATTATTACTGATCTCACAATTTCCTCAGTCCTAATTTCCCTTTTGTTTTTAGATGTTATTGGCAAGTGATAACAACTTGTTTTCGGCGGCAGAAGCTAGTGGTTTCGAGATGGAAAATGTTGTTAATGAAGCTTGGCCAAACAACTTAGCAATCAATGATGATGAAAAGCGTTTTATGCACAAGGTTCCTAGGTTTCATAGAAAGGTAAATGACGAAGCCTATACTCCTCAATTAATTTCAATAGGCCCCTATCACTGTCTCAAAGAAGAGTTGCAAGACATGAGAATGCTAAAAAGAAGATATAGGGATGCATTTTTCGGACGAATTATCCCGGATAAACAGGGGGAACTCAAGAATTTTATCCTGGAGAACGAACCTCGAATCCGCCATCATTATGTAGAGCTGCCTAACGATTTTAAAAGCAACGATGATTTTAACTCGATTATTCTACATGATGCTGTTTTCATCATCGAGCTCTTCTTGAGATTTTATTCAGGATATAAAGATGATATTTTGCTAACTGAGGTGTGGCTTGCAGCTCTAAGACGAGACTTACAGTTACTCGAAAATCAGCTCCCGTATTTTGTGCTTGATGAGTTATATAAATTGGCCCGCACCTACGCCAGTAGGCCCACTACGGAAAATGAAGTCTCTCCCTTTGAAATGCCCTTCAGTGATCTTTCTGGCCTTTTCTTTCAACTCCATCACTCGCCCAACAGATCACTTCATATGCAAAGTGTTGGAGTCAAAATTAAACATTTCACTGATTTGTGTAGATATGCTCTAGTGGAAATTCCGCAGAATGGTAGGTGTAAAGTCCGATTGAGGTCCCTCGGTGCTTTACCAAACGTAGTCAAATTGAAAAATTCTGGAGTGAAATTTCAGCGTAGGTGGGGTAAATATTTGGTTGACATTCGCTTGGAAAGCACCGAACGACTAAAGCCATTTCCTAATAAAGTTAAGCTGCAAATTCCACGCATTAAAATAGCTGACAACATAGAATGTTTGATTCGAAACGTAATGGCCTTAGAGGTGTGTCAGTATCCATCCGAAACTTATATATGCAGTTATATTCACCTAATGGATTCACTTATCAATAACGAGCAGGACGTGGATTTGCTTGTTGAAAAGGGAATTATTTACGATCCTTCAGGTGACTATTCTACAACGTCGACCATGTTTGATAAACTATGCAAGCAAATTCCTCAACGTCATTCCCATGACTACGACATTTATAAGACTCTGACTGATCACTACCAGAGTCGTTGGAACCATGCCATGGAGACCCTGGGTAGTGTGTATTTTAGCAATCCTTGGAGAGGCACGGCAACTGTTGCTGCAATTATACTCCTGCTGCTCACTTTGGCACAAACTGTAGCATCTATCCTGCAAGTAGTCTAGCGTAAATGTAGCTAAGCAATTTTACTTTATGTATGGTGGTAATTGCTTGGTTGTAGTATTTTTAAAGGTATTAATTGTTTAATATTTTTATATGTGGATGAACTTATTCTGTACCTAATGATCAAGAGACAAGTTTATGAAACTAAAATGAAGTTATATTCAAGCTTAACATGAAAAAAATAAAATAAAAAAATAAGCAGCTAGTAATGTTATCTTATTAATTTGCTTTTTATATGATTTATGTGTTTGGATGTCCAACCTTTGCAGCAATATTATTCAGAAGGTAATAAGCCCCCAATTTGAACGTAACTTATTTTGGTACGATGACTAATCCCTTCTGGTTAAAAATAAGCCCAATAGATTTATAATTTTGTCATCTTTCAAACTAAAGAGTAAACGTCGGGCTTAGTTTTAAATAAAGAGTAATGTTATACTTACAATGAGTTATACAAACAGATAAAAAACAAAAGATAAAATAGTTATTGTACATGAATTTTGTGTAATTTTTATCTGATTGTATGATTCAATTGTAAGCAAAACATTATTATCAAATAAAATCACTATTTTTAAATCGAAACCGTCTAATATTGACTTTGAATTTGTCTTTCAAGAACCTTGCAGAATCAACCTCTTATTTGAAATTTCCCATGTCAGATAAACCTCTCTTAGATCAGAAATATTACAGAAAGGACCCTTTCTAATTAGTCACGTGGCCTACGTCATGTCTCTTTTTCAAGCGCACGTCGCTCACTACATCACCTCTCAGTTTTATAATCTTTAAAAGTAAGCTTCCCTATATATATATATAAGAGAATAAGAGACTTTATTCCCAATTGCTCAATTGCTCACATCACTCAAATCTAGAGGTGGAACAAATGGGCCGGGTTAGGCAAGTCAACCCTAACCCGGCCCGCATCAAGCCAAGTTTAACCCAGCCTGCGTATACCTCGCTGGACGGGTTGAGCCTTCATAGGCCAACCCGGGGATCCAGCGTGTTATATATATATATATATTTTTTTTAAAAAAAGACCTATCCAACGCGCCGGGTTGACCCACGGGTTGGATGAAAAAAATTAAAAAAATTAATTAATTTTTTTTTTTTTGCAAATACTCATTTTACTCTTGAAATATCGCCGTTTTATGGCAGTTTGATGGGTCTTTTTGGTCATTTTCTTTCCCCCCTCCCCCCCCCCCCCCCCCCTCCCCTCTTTTTTTGTTTCTATAAATAAGGCCTAACTCTCATATTTTCTCACATCCCAAATTCTCTCATTCTCTCATTTTCTCTATTGAAATCTCTCAATTATTCTCTTTGTTCTCAATTTGCTCTTATTTTAATTTTTATTAGTTTTTGCAATTTTTAATTCATATTTCCAAATTCCAATTCTCCTTCTTTAATTTTTTATTTCTTCTATATTCATTTTTTTTTAACTACAATAGATAGATATTTCATCCCATCAATTTTGATGATGAAGGAAATTATCCTAGTCGCCCTGAATTTACTAACGTAAATGCAGTATATTCAAACAATCTCGTTTTCCCATTCTTATAATCTGATACACCTCATAATTCCCCCTCCCCCCTTTCCTCCCCATGCTGTTATAGCTCCCGGTGTTTCTAGTAGTCATCCTCGTAATTGTCATCCTCGTCCAACTCCATCTCAAGTAGAAGCGGGTTCATCAACTGCAGTCGAAATCAATGACAGGCACACATCAGACGTTTGGGTACATTTTGATAAGTTTTATGAGACAGAAAATGGAGTTCAAGTGAAAAATGCAAGATGCAAGTATTGTGGAAATATTTATAAAGCTGATACATGTAATAATACTAGTACTTTAAAAAGACATGCTAATAAACATATTACTCAACCTGGAAATACAGAAAACAATCAAACTCAAATAACTAATATGGGTACTACTTGGCGTTGTAATTCTAATGTATATAAGGAACAATTAGCTTTATATATTGCTACAACTAATCAACCTATTAATATGGCTGAAGATAAATATTTTGAAAGATTTATTAAAAATTCATTTTTTTCCAGGATTTAAAAGTTATTCTAAATCTACAACTAGAAATGATTTAATAAAATTATTTAGGAAAATGAAATTAAAATTAAAAAATAAAATACATAGTTGTCATATTAGTGTGGCTCTAACCGCCGATATTTGGAGTGGTAAAGCTAAACAAGATCATATTTGTGTAACTAGTCATTATTTTGATAACGAATGTAAATTAAATAAATCTTTATTGGGATTTATATTAATGAATGTGGATCACAATGGTCAACAAAGTTATAATAAATTTTTTTAAGTTTTAGAAGATTATGATATTATTCATAAAGCAATAAGTTTAACTTTAGATAATGCAAGTGCTAGTAGTAGAGCCATAGATTATTTGTTTTTGAATAATTTTCCTTTTTATGACAATTTGAAGTTTTTTCACCAATGATGTGCATGTCACATTATTAATTTAATTGTGAAAAGTGGTATGAAAAAAATTAGCAATAATATTGATAGAATTAGGATTCTTTAGCTTGGATTAGTAGTAGTAATAAAAGAAATGTTGAATTTTAAGATGCTTGTATAAAATCAAATATGTCTCCTAGAACTTTTGCATTAGACATGCCTATTAGATAGAATAGTACTTAATTAATGCTTGATTCATGTTTACCTTATGCAGATTTAATTAGTTATTTTGTAGCAAGTAATAAATGTCCTCATTATTTGGTAGATAGTGATTGGCATATTGCTCAAAAACTTCATTCTTTTCTCAAAATTTTTTATCAATCCACTTTACAAGTTTCTGCTGTGTATTATCCTACTAGTCCATTGGTAATACATACAATTATAAAAATTTCAGATTTATTTAAAAAGAACAGAAACATTGAAATTTTAGCAAGACCAATAGAGGCAATGGAATTAAAATTTAAAAAATATTGGAAACCCATTCCTTTTCTTTATTGTTTAGCTGCCATATTTGATCATAGAATTAAATTAGCACGTTTAGAAAATGGTTTAGACACGTTAAGTGAAAATTTACGAGACGAAGCATATGCTAATCAACTAAGAGAGATAAGAAAGTGTCTTGCGAAGGTATATTTCAAATATAAAAACAGGTTTGGGAACCAGCAAAGAGGCGAAATACCGGAGAAAGTAGCATTAGAAGAAACAAATGAAGACTTCGACACCTAGAGTGCACTTAATAGGTCGAAGAGGACCCGAACCCGAAGCAGAGCCCCCTCTTCAGAAGCATCAACAACGAATGTACTATCCTCCATACAGCTACAGAGTAATAAGCTTCACCAATATATGGGAACCCCCAATATGCTACCAGTAGATCCACAACAAAGAGCCAACTTTGACATCTTAGAATATTGGAAAACCATAAAAAATATTTTTCCGATATCATTAAGACTTGCCTTGGATGTGTTTTCTGTTCCTGTCTCAACCATCTCATCCAAACAAACATTTAGTGCAAGTGAAAGAATTTTAAATGAAAGGAGGACTAAACATTCACAAAAAATGATTAAAGTCCTCACATATCTTCGAACGGTCGCGCCATCAGGATCAATACAAGGTTGTTGACGATACTTTAATAGAATCAAATCAGTTTTGTAATATAGATAATACGGATGAGGGAGGTCCTAGCCAACCTCCAAATTAGTTGTTTTGTAAATTGTAACTTTGCAACTTGTAAATTAATTGTCAATTATTGCACTCTTTTTTACTTACCAAGTTTTTGTCTCAATTGGGTTTTTCTTGGTAAGGTTTTTAACGAGGCAATAATTGTTAGAATTTCTTATTTCTTATTTTATTTTTTGATAAATGAATAAATCTAATTTTTTCTTATATTACAATTTAATTGTATTAAAATTGAATTAATATTTAAAATGTTAACAAAAAAAATTAATTTAATTGAATTATTAATATTTGAAAAGTTAGCTAAAAATAATTACACAAAAGAAAAAAAATAAAAAAAATTCTAGACTAGCCTGGCCCGACCCACACCATAACCCGCCAGGTTAAGGTTCGTGGGCTGAGCTAGGCCAACCCTTCTGGCCAAGAGGCAGGCCGAGTTGCTTAACCTGCCATGGGCCAGGCGGGTTATTTTTTCACCTTTACTCAAATCATGCATACGCTTCAACTTCATTCTTGGACAAAATTACTTAATAGACCAACGTCTTCCAAGAAAGACCTCTTTCGTCCTTTACATTCAAACACTTCAGAATGGACCGCTTGTTCTCAACCTTTAATTTTATAAAGATCCTTGCTACTTTAGAAACTGAGTAAACGACTTTTTCCCACCCAAATAATGGTCTAATGATACTTCCTCACTCATGAACTTTTAAAATACCACTTTGCCATCTAAAGTACCCAAATTTTATGATATTTCATTGTAAAGACAAAAATACCCTTATCTCTTTTTCTTCTCTTCAACCTCTTCCATTGCCAGCAAAAAAGAGGAATTACACCATTACTAGCACCAGAGTAAGCCACCCCGTCAATAGTTTTGCTTCTCATCGTCTCTCCCCTTTCTCAATCGCAACAAGAGAACCCGAATATTTAACATATAAAGTGTAAATATCCGAGTTGCAAGGATTCTCAATGATTTCCAAGCAAATGCAATTCAATAGATTATCTCTTCTTCACGGTAAATTTTTCCTTCTAATGTTTAAATGTCATATCTGCAGTAATCACCACCACCCATAGCAATGAATCCCTACCAAATTACACTGAAAATTCTATCCACCCAGCTTATTTATACAATATGGTTACCGAGAAATTCATTTACGAGATCAATGAAGAAATCATTATGATTAAGAGGAAAAAGAAAAACACAATGCAATATTTTTTTCTAGAAAGAAACTTCTATTAAGTTTATTAAAATAGATAATTCAAAAAACAACATTTGACCCCAATTACAAAACTGTGTTTGGTGCTTCATTGCAGAGAAGCAGCTAGCATAATCATTTAATCCATCACTCTTCCTTATGCTTCTCT